TGACAATTTGCCTTTATCCCATTGATCCTAAAGCGCGTGCAAAGATTGCGGGGTATCGTGCAAAAAAACCCCGCAGTACAACCAACAGAACAATGTTTTCGAACAATGATTTCAAACTACCAAGATTCGAAAATTAAACTGTTCAATATGGCAAACATTCCATGAAATAAGGACTAAGAATGCTTGCTAATAACTGCCGAAAGTGTTATTCATTCAAAAGAAATATAAAGAAAGTCGACCAATACAGGCTGATGAACCTGATGCGTTCACATCCACGGCCGAATCAACTGTCACGATTTGCGTATCCCATAGGTTTTGGTAATTCTAGAACTAAAAAGATATAACGAATTTTGTTTACAATTTTTCTAAGGGACTAAGAACGCATATGGTCCATGGTTTTCACTTTTTTTTTAGTTCTGGAATTATTCTTTGATGTCTCTTAGCGTCCACTTAAAGACACTGACATGCAACTAAATTAAGTTGTTATTCATCCATTTATTCAAATGCAAATGAAATTGGCTTTGCATTGTGTTATATTATGTTATATTGTATATGAATCCAAGCGTTTGATTCACTACAGTAGCTAGTTCTGGAATAAACATCGTACATAATCAGTCTAAAGATCTGCTTAAAATGAAATATTCCGATAAATGAAACGTTTTTAAGTAGTCCACAATTCACGGTACAAGAGATTGGTTACAAAACGTTTGCGTATCGGCCTATTCCGGAATGCGATCAGTCGAACGCAGATCAGAACTCATGATCTAAGCCTTCATTAGTCCATTTATTATGGTGAACACGGCTGATTAATCGAACAGCTCCCGGGGGAGTACTCCTTATAATGGCAAATAATGGCTCATACAGGGAGGCTCGGCCCGAAAGGGGTACCTTTTTCAGCCTTCTGCAGGTATAAAAAAGGGAAGCGGGATTTCACTATCCGTCATTTCGATATAAAAGGACCTAACATGGTTAAAAGGGCCAACAAAAGGATTTTGCGGCATTGAGAAAGACAAGAAAATTTCTTGCTGGTAGGATTTATTCACGTTTAAAACTGACAGTGCATTTATAGTAGTTAAAAGGGATGCAAAGTTCTAAGCTAGAAATGTGAAAGGGGTTCCATTTGTCAATAGAAAGTATACGAAAGGATACCTTTTCCCGTTAAAAATGGTACATAAAAGGGTAAGGGGTTGGACTTCGTGGCAAAGCCTTCCCGTATAAAGCTTAGTTGAGTACTGAACCCCCTCCACCGGGATGCAGCTCTCTCAGCCGGAAAACTAGATACATACCACCCATATAACAAAATGTCAGTGTCTTTACGAAAACGCTTAAGTTCAGCCACGGTGCTTTTATGGTCAATTGTTGTATGGGTAGCAGTGGTAATATTCGTGTTTCTCTGTATCCAGTGGTCACCAACGCATTTACGAAAGTCGAACGTGGTTGGAGAAGATAGCATCACAGGCGACAACAAACTCGGACCCCATGGCAGAAAATACATGAACACGATCACGTACGAAAAGTTTTACTTCGTATTTTCGTATGCAGAACAACTTTCAATGGCCACTAGAAACTTACTAGCCCTCGCGGCTTTAGGGAGCTACAGTGGGCATCACTTTGTTGTACCTTTTGTTAAAAATTCAATCAAGGTTTCTCGGTAGTTCTAAAATGAGTAGTGACACTCAAACGCTGGAATTGTACTACAATCTGAGCGCACTTAACAACAAACTTCGTTCACACGGATACAGCACTTTGGTGAGCTGGGAAACATTTCAGAATGTTTGTCGGAACAAGCTGGACTTACTGCTATATATAAACTATGGTAATATAGCTTTTCACCGAGGGAAAAAGACAAAATGTAGCGGTAATCAAAGACATCAAGGTTTCGTTAAAGGTTTCAGAGTACTGAAAACAATTTGCGTGGATTCCGGGATGCTTTCTTCGGTTGAAGATTTTCTAAAGGACGTGATCAAAGGAAATGAATGTGTTGGGATCGAAGACTGGACGGGAAATGGAACACTGACTTCATATCGAGCTTTATTCCCACTTCCTTCAAACATCCATCGTCCTCTCGATCATAAAAGTATAAGTCTATTTTTTAATGAAAACCTTTTGGAAATCGCTCAACACTTTATTTCAAAGATGTTAGGCTCAAACTATGTTTCCTTTCACATTCGCTCGGAAAAAATTCTCAAGAGAACTAATGGAACTATTACCACTTTGGTCAATTGTTTAAAACAACTTGCAGCCATGACCAATCGATTGCGTGAATATGATAATCATAAAATTTTCGTAGCTACGGACTTTTCACCGTCAGGATCTCAAAGTTTCGGTATCTCATCGGCTCGCAATAATACCACCTTGCTTTTAAATCATCTTGATGGACTTTTGCACAATCCAGTATTTATTCAGCCGCATGTTTATAACCTCTTAGATTCAGGAGCGGTTGCCATTGTTGAAATGACTATTCTTACCTCAGGAAGGCAATTATTCTTGACTGGAGGGGGATCTTTTCAAGCGTGGATCAAGAATCAATTTGCGAATAGGAAACACAATGGTTATGGCAAAGTACACGCCGCATGCACAAGTAAATAAGCAACTAATTTCCAGCCTGCTCGCGTGCGCCTTAAGCATTCTCTTTCTCTAACTGAGCGCATGCGCTAGGCAGACCAATAGCAGACCGGCTGCAACCTCGTCGCCAGGGTCCGCCCCTCCCATTTTCTAAGGGAAAGGCCCTGGGGACGAGTTTGCACATGGGTATTTTTCTCTTCAACCATCTTGAGTGGATGTAGGCAGCGAAAAACCGCCTCTTCCTGCTCCTCTCTGCTAGGGACGTTTTAGCTTCAAGGAGCGAGGAAGGACGGCCGTATTCGCAGGCAAGAGTAGATAGCAACCTCATTCCAAGTCAGTTTCATAGTACCTTTAGAAATGCAACCTCAAGGGTGATGTAAGATTGCAGGGGTACTCCTGGGAATTCTTGGTGGGGTATGCAGCCCAGTCCTCTAAATCCTGACCGTATTTCAGACGGGACCACGCCCATTTACAGACCTGGGCCCAGTTGCTCGAAGCATGGTTAGCGTTAACCAGCGTTTAATACCTTGACAACGTATTGGTTTTGATATTGCTTAACCCAGGGTTAAAGCTAACCATGCTTTGACCAACTCAGCCCTGGCCTCTAAAATCCATACCCGTTTTCAGAACTGGACTTGTCATATATACTAGATTAGAACGCCAACAAAAGATTTAATTTCTTAAAATCCATTTCGAATTCTAAAATTACTTTCAGTTCTTTCTTATTCAGTTGCAAGCAGAAACGACAGATACGTCCATACACCCCCGTAGTTCCATCGAAAATCACACTCGCTACCAGACTAAATGGCCTTTATCCGTGTTCAGACCGAAACCGCGCAAAAACTATACGCCAAACTTGACTAAGACAGAATCTTTACTAATTGGGTCTAGGCTAAGACTATCAACCCTAAAAAATATATAAATTCTTGTAATTTAAATTGATCAGTTTCCGATCAAACAAAAAAAAACGCACTTTATTTGAGTGTCAATGTATTTAGCACGAAAGTGCTAATTGGGGACACTATATTTTACGTCTCCTAATAGAGACAGGAGCGCCATTTTACGTGGTCATCCGAGCCACGCGAAGGTCCAGCCGCCTGCAGGGCAAAGGGAGTACCTTCATTTCTCATTTATTTTAAGACCCTGAGTATTTGTCCGGCCCCGGGAATCGAACCCGCGACCTCCCGCTCTGCAGTCAAGCGCTCTACCGACTGAACTAGTCCTGCCGCGGTTCGACAAAAAAAAAACACTTTGATGTTCATATCGACGGAAATCTTTCTTGGGAGTGTCATATTAATGAAATCTCTAAGAAGATTGCTTCTGGCATAAATGCAATCAAGTGTATTAGGTATTTTCCCCCCTTTGAGATTCTGCTTAACGTATACAATTTACTGCAGTGGGACAGTCACACTTTGATTACGTAATATTACGTAGTACGGGGGAACTGTTCTAAGAACCTATCTTCTAAATTGCAGAAATTGCAGAATCACGCTGCTCGTGTTTTAACTATCTCCAATTATGAATTTAACGTAGTAAAGCAATTAAAACACGCGCTGCTTCACAATATCTGACACAATATCTGGTTGACCCATGAGTTATAAGCTCGGCTTGACCGCATGCGAATTTCGACTGTGGAGCGACTTCGCTTTAAACGCGTTGAACGTTTCATATACCGCACTAAATTTGACTGGTGAGAATTGAACACCGTGATCTAGAGAACTGAGTCCGACTCATGAAGTTTGACGCATGAATCTGGATCTGAATCTGATCTGAATCTGAAACGGTGGAACTTGTATTATTTGCGTTGATCCAAATACTGTAAGTTTTAAGTTCGATACCAGAAAAGTTCGATTTTGAACTCCGTAGGTAGGCATACTGTGGGGTTGAGCGAGACCTTGCCTTATCTCAGGACTGATGAAGAAAAAAAACAATTAAAAGAGGTATGGTGATCTTTTTAAATATCGCAAAATTTATGCATTTTCTGCAGCCGTGGACAAAGATTCAACTAGTGAAATGCAAATGCAATTGTATTGTTTCAGCTGTTGTTGGCAAAAACAAAAGATGAAAACAACGCTGGGTTCGAAGTGATTCTACCCACGGTATTAGAACACAAGATTTTTGTCGTAAAACCTTAGTTGATTACGCATTTATTTATGGCGAGCACAGCACCTCATTAAGTCGCATACTCAGATAACAAAATGCTTCCTTTGCGGGGACCCTTTAAGACTTTAGATAAGGTACTTTTTGGGACCATTGTCATTCTATGGCTAGCAGTGGTAATATGCATGTTAAATTACACCGAATGGTCATCAATGCTTTTAAGAATGTCGAGGACGGTTGGAGACGGCACCATTCGCAACAACAGAACAGAACACACGAATATGATCACGCATGGAAAGTTTTACTTCGTATTTTCGTATGCAGAACAACTTTCAATGGCCACTAGAAACTTACTAGCCCTCTCGGCTTTGGGGAGCTACAGTGGGCATCAAGTTGTTGTACCTTTTGTTAAAAATTCAAGGTTTTTCGGTAGTTCTAAAATGAGTAGTGACACTCAAACGCTGGAATTGTACTACAATCTGAGCGCACTTAACAACAAACTTCGTTCACACGGATACAGCACTTTGGTAAGCTGGGAAACATTTCAGAATGTTTGTCGGAACAAGCTGGACTTACTGCTATATATAAACTATGGTAATATAGCTTTTCACCGAGGGAAAAAGACAAAATGTAGCGGTAATCAATGACATCAAGGTTTCGTTAAAGGTTTCAGAGTACTGAAAACAATTTGCGTGGATTCCGGGATGCTTTCTTCGGTTGAAGATTTTCTAAAGGACGTGATCAAAGGAAATAAATGTGTTGGGATCGAAGACTGGACGGGAAATGGAACACTGACTTCATATCGAGCTTTATTCCCACTTCCTTCAAACATCCATCGTCCTCTCGATCATAAAAGTATAAGTCTATTTTTAATGAAAACCTTTTGGAAATCGCTCAACACTTTATTTCAAAGATGTTAGGCTCAAACTATGTTTCCTTTCACATTCGCTCGGAAAAAAATCTCAAGAGAACTAATGGGACTATTACCACTTTGGTCAATTGTTTAAAACAACTTGCAGCCATGACCAATCGATTGCGTGAATATGTTAATCATAAAATTTTCGTAGCTACAGACTTTTCACCGTCAGGATCTCAAAGTTTCGGTATCTCATCGGCTCGCAATAATACCACCTTGCTTTTAAATCATCTTGATGAACTTTTGCACAATCCAGTATTTTTTCAGCCGCATGTTTATAACCTCTTAGATTCAGGAGCGGTTGCCATTGTTGAAATGACTATTCTTACCTCGGGAAGGCAGTTATTCTTGACTGGAGGGGGATCTTTTCAAGCTTGGATCAAGAATCAATTTGCGAATAGGAAACACAATGGTTATGGCAAAGTACACGCCGCATGCACAAGTAAATAAGCAACTAATTTCCAGCCTGCTCGCGTGCGCCTTAAGCATTCTCTTTCTCTAACTGAGCGCATGCGCTAGGCAGACCAATAGCAGACCGGCTGCAACCTCGTCGCCAGGGCCCGCCCCTCCCATTTTCTAAGGGGAAGGCCCTGGGGACGAGTTTGCACATGGTTATTTTTCTCTTCAACCATCTTGAGTGGATGTAGGTAGCGAAAAACCGCCTCTTCCTGCTCCTCTCTGCTAGGGACGTTTTAGCTTCAAGGAGCGAGGAAGGACGGCCGTATTCGCAGGCAAGAGTAGATAGTATATAGCAACCTCATTCCAAGTCAGTTTCATAGTACCTTTAGAAATGCAACCTCAAGGGTGATGTAAGATTGCAGGGTACTCCTGGGAATTCTTGGTGGGGTATGCAGCCCAGTCCTCTAAATCCTGACCGTATTTCAGACGGGACCACGCCCATTTACAGACCTGGGCCCAGTTGCTCGAAGCATGGTTAGCGTTAACCAGCGTTTAATACCTTGACAACGTATTGGTTTTGATATTGCTTAACCCATGGTTAAAGCTAACCATGCTTTGACCAACTCAGCCCTGGCCTCTAAAATCCATACCCGTTTTCAGAACTGGACTTGTCATATATACTAGATTAGAACGCCAACAAAAGATTTAATTTCTTAAAATCCATTTCGAATTCTAAAATTACTTTCAGTTCTTTCTTATTCAGTTGCAAGGAGAAACGACAGATACGTCCATACCCCCGTAGTTCCATCGAAAATCACACCCGCTACCAGACTAAATGGCCTTTACCCGTGTTCAGATCGAAACGGCGCAAAAACTATACGCCAAACTTGACTAAGACAGAATCTTTACTAATTGGGTAATTGGGGCTAAGACTATCAACTAAAAAAAAGATATAAATTCTTGTAATTTAAATTGATCAGTTTCCGATCAAACAAAAAAAAACGCACTTTATTTGAGTGTCAATGTATTTAGCACGAAAGTGCTAATTGGGGACACTATATTTTACGTCTCCTAATAGAGACAGGAGCGCCATTTTACGTGGTCATCCGAGCCACGCGAAGGTCCAGCCGCCTGCAGGGCAAAGGGAGTACCTTCATTTCTCAGTTATTTTAAGACCCTGAGTATTGGTCCGGCCCCGGGAATCGAACCCGCGACCTCCCGCTCTGCAGTCAAGCGCTCTACCGACTGAGCTAGTCCTGCCGCGGTTCGACAAAAAAAAACACTTTGATGTTCATATCGACGGAAATCTTTCTTGGGAGTGTCATATTAATGAAATCTCTACGAAGATTGCTTCTGGCATAAATGCAATCAAGTGTATTAGGTATTTTCCCCCCTTTGAGATTCTGCTTAACGTATACAATTTACTGCAGTGGGACAGTCACACTTTGATTACGTACTATTACGTAGTATGGGGGAACTGTTCTAAGAACCTATCTTCTAAATTGCAGAAATTGCAGAATCACGCTGCTCGTGTTTTAACTATCTCCAATTATGAATTTAACGTAGTAAAGCAATAAAAACACGCGCTGCTTCACAATATCTGGTTGACCCATGAGTTATAAGCTCCGCTTGACCGCATGCGAATTTCGACTGTGGAGCGACTTCGCTTTAAACGCGTTGAACTTTTCATATGCCGAACTAAATTTGACTGGTAAGAATTGAACACCGTGATCTAGAGAACTGAGTCCGACTCATGAAGTTTGACGCATGAATCAACGGTGGAACTTGTATTATTTGCGTTGATCCAAACACTGTAAGTATTAAGTTCGATACCAGAAAAGTTCGATTTTGAACTCCGTAGGTAGGCATACTGTGAGGTTGAGCGAGTCCTTGCCTTATCTCAGGACTGATGAAGAAAAAAAAACAATTAAAAGAGGTATGGTGATCTTTTTAAATATCGCAAAATTTATGCATTTTCTGCAGCCGTGGACAAAGATTCAACTAGTGAAATGCAAATGAAATTGTATTGTGTCAGTTGTTGTTGGCAAAAACAAAAGATGAAAACAACGCTGGGTTCGAAGTGATCCTACCCACGGTATTAGAACACAAGATTTTTGTTGTAAAACCTTAGTTGATTACGCATTTATTTATGGCGAGCACAGCACCTCATTAAGTCGCATACTCAGATAACAAAATGCTTCCTTTGCGGGGACCCTTTAAGACTTTAGGTAAGGTACTTTTTGTGACCATTGTCATTCTCTGGCTAGCAGTGGTAATATGCATGTTTAATTACACGGAATGGTCATCAATGCTTTTAAGAATGTCGAGGATGGTTGGAGACGGCACCATTCGTAACATCAGAACAGAACACACGAATATGATCACGCATGGAAAGTTTTACTTCGTATTTTCGTATGCAGAACAACTTTCAATGGCCACTAGAAACTTACTCGCCCTCGCGGCTTTAGGAAGCTACAGTGGGCATCAAGTTGTTGTACCTTTTGTTAAAAATTCAAGGTTTTTCGGTAGTTCTAAAATGAGTAGTGACACTCAAACGCTGGAATTGTACTACAATCTGAGCGCACTTAACAACAAACTTCGTTCACACGGATACAGCACTTTGATGAGCTGGGAAACATTTCAGAATGTTTGTCGGAACAAGCTGGACTTACTGCTATATATAAACTATGGTAATATAGCTTTTCATCGAGGGAAAAAGACAAAATGTAGCGGTAATCAAAGACATCAAGGTTTCGTTAAGGGTTTCAGAGTACTGAAAACAATTTGCGTGGATTCCGGGATGCTTTCTTCGGTTGAAGATTTTCTAAAGGACGTGATCAAAGGAAATGAATGTGTTGGGATCGAAGACTGGACGGGAAATGGAACACTGACTTCATATCGAGCTTTATTCCCACTTCCTTCAAACATCCATCGTCCTCTCGATCATAAAAGTATAAGTCTATTTTTTAATGAAAAACTTATGGAAATCGCTCAACACTTTATTTCAAAGATGTTAGGCTCAAACTATGTTTCCTTTCACATTCGCTCGGAAAAAATTCTGAAGAGCCCTAATGGAACTATTACCACTTTGGTCAATTGTTTAAAACAACTTGCAGCCATGACCAATCGATTGGGTGAATATGATACTCATAAAATTTTCGTAGCTACGGACTTTTCACCGTCAGGATCTCAAAGTTTCGGTATCTCATCGGCTCGCAATAATACCACCTTGCTTTTAAATCATCTTGATGGACTTTTGCACAATCCAGTATTTTTTCAGCCGCATGTTTATAACCTCTTAGATTCAGGAGCGGTTGCCATTGTTGAAATGACTATTCTTACCTCAGGAAGGCAATTATTCTTGACTGGAGGGGGATCTTTTCAAGCGTGGATCAAGAATCAATTTGCGAATAGGAAACACAATGGTTATGGCAAAGTACACGCCGCATGCACAAGTAAATAAGCAACTAATTTCCAGCCTGCTCGCGTGCGCCTTAAGCATTCTCTTTCTCTAACTGAGCGCATGCGCTAGGCAGACCAATGGCAGACCGGCTGCAACCTCGTCGCCAGGGTCCGCCCCTCCCATTTTCTAAGGGAAAGGCCCTGGGGACGAGTTTGCACATGGGTATTTTTCTCTTCAACCATCTTGAGTGGATGTAGGCAGCGAAAAACCGCCTCTTCCTGCTCCTCTCTGCTAGGGACGTTTTAGCTTCAAGGAGCGAGGAAGGACGGCCGTATTCGCAGGCAAGAGTAGATAGCAACCTCATTCCAAGTCAGTTTCATAGTACCTTTAGAAATGCAACCTCAAGGGTGATGTAAGATTGCAGGGGTACTCCTGGGAAATCTTGGTGGGGTATGCAGCCCAGTCCTCTAAATCCTGACCGTATTTCAGACGGGACCACGCCCATTTACAGACCTGGGCCCAGTTGCTCGAAGCATGGTTAGCGTTAACCAGCGTTTAATACCTTGACAACGTATTGGTTTTGATATTGCTTAACCCATGGTTAAAGCTAACCATGCTTTGACCAACTCAGCCCTGGCCTCTAAAATCCATACCCGTTTTCAGAACTGGACTTGTCATATATACTAGATTAGAACGCCAACAAAAGATTTAATTTCTTAAAATCCATTTCGAATTCTAAAATTACTTTCAGTTCTTTCTTATTCAGTTGCAAGGAGAAACGACAGATACGTCCATACACCCCCGTAGTTCCATCGAAAATCACACTCGCTACCAGACTAAATGGCCTTTACCCGTGTTCAGATCGAAACGGCGCAAAAACTATACGCCAAACTTGACTAAGACAGAATCTTTACTAATTGGGTCTAGGCTAAGACTATCAACCCTAAAAAAGATATAAATTCTTGTAATTTAAATTGATCAGTTTCCGATCAAACAAAAAAAAACGCACTTTATTTGAGTGTCAATGTATTTCGCACGAAAGTGCTAATTGGGGACACTATATCTTACGTCTCCTAATAGAGACAGGAGCGCTATTTTACGTGGTCATCCGAGCCACGCGAAGGTCCAGCCGCCTGCAGGGCAAAGGGAGTACCTTCATTTCTCAGTTATTTTAAGACCCTGAGTATTGGTCCGGCCCCGGG